AAATAAAAATACAAATATTCATAGAAGAAGAAAAAAAAGGAATCTATTTGAGAATTATGGATACATATTCATCAGTCTGCTAATAACTAATTCATTGCCACTGAGACAGAACTGACTTATAGCTGACCTTCCTGTGGGTTTTCAAAGACATAATTACATGGGAGGAGACTGGTTGTGTTTTTCCTGAGCGCAGGTGGTAGCTTTGATTTAGCAGTGCAATTCCTTACCCACTAGACCTCCAGAGTGCCCTTCACTTTTCTCGTCGTTGTTGTATACCAACAACTTGGAACCAACTCACAACTGACCCCCCAGCAGGTTTTCAGAGGCAGTAAATTGCAAGGGAGGAGATTTTCGTATTTCTCTTGTGAAGTAACTGGTAGATTCAAATTCAGTTCTCTGCAAAATGTCCCTTTGCGATGACAGCCCAATTCCTTACCAGAGTTTCTAGTAGAATCTCTGAAATTATCTGTTAAAAAGGGGACTAAGTATATTAAACACCAAATTATCTTAGTATCAGGGGAGAAACAATTTCCATTGGAGGGTAGCAGAAGAAAAGGGCAACTTTGTTGACATTAAAGAGTCTACTTGCCTGGCAAGCATAGAAGTGACCAGTTATTTTAACAACCACCTGGTCATTTTCATCAGGTGTCTGGTCACGAGGGACAACTACTTCTGCACTTGACAAATTCTGGAGCTCATTCACCTATGAAAGAGAAATAAAATTATGGTAATTTTTTTTTCAAAGTTGCTTTGTCCTGAACATGTAATCCAGTGATAATCTTAAAAGCTTGTGCATATTTTCCTCACTTCACGATATTTAAAGAAACTGACTTGCACAAAGTTATATGAATGAACAGCAAAACTGGATTGAAACCCAGCAATTGTAAGCACCTTTGAAAATGATTTACACATTCCATGTGTTTGAAATGGGAAACAGTGTACTGTTCAGTTACAAAGGTCCAAGTGTAGACAAAATGTTTACATTTTCATCTCATGATGTTACATGTTTGAACAATAAAAAGCTGAAGCCAGTGTCCTGTTTTCTTCCCCTTAAACACATGAGCCTGCACCCTCACACAGGTGGGCTCAGGGACAGGTACCGGGCACAGACCTGTTTTTAGGACTTGGCCAAGATTGGGGACGTAGGGTTCCTAAGTACCTTTCAGTGCTTTCCCCTTCATACCACTGCACAGGTTTTGCTGAAGTACTTGCCGTTTTGCCTCCTTTTCCAATAACTCTGCCAGCAGCAAAGGATGGCACTCTGATATGAGCTTCAAGTTTCACTTCTTCTTTAGGGCTAACGAAGTTTTCTTCTTTAATTTTGCCATAAATTCTTCCCTGAGCCTACAGATGAGAACATAGCCTACCATTGTACCGTCATTCATACCAAAACCACAAAAGTCTTAGGGTGTCACCTCATACATATATAAAATAACATGCTGTTGAGCAATTCACATTTGGAAGATAGGGAATTGCAACAAATCATATAAAGCAACCATTAAGGAAAACCCCAAATGAAAGACTTTTGGTTTTGAAAAGTAATTGTGGCTGTGTGCTGAGCTGACCCTTGAATTTCTATTGATACTCTATCAATTGGGTGTTCGACATACTTAAGGGAGGAATCAGGTAATAAAGCTCCTCGTTCACGTTCCACGTACCCGTTTGCCCCCTGTGCACACCCTTTAAAGGCCTACCTTGAACTGAGCCTCTGGAGGGCCAGTTATAATCACCATCCTCACTTTTGCATCTGGTGCTTCAGCTGGAGCAATCTATGACAGAGAGGGAGCAAGTTAGGACATTTTCTGGTTCCACTGATAAGAAAATTATAGCAATCTGACACTTGCACATGAACAAATAAACAAAAGCAAAGCCCACAAGACAGTTAAGAAGGTCTTTAAGGTAGGTTCACCAATTATGGCTCTAGCCACACACTAATTTACACTGTGTAGAGACCCATATACAACTTCTTATTTACTCCTCACTACATCCTGAAAAGGCATTACTTTCCACTTTATAAATGGGGGAAAACAAAGCTGGGGAGGAGTTATCTGAACTGTGATGACACCTTGGCTCTCCCCAGCCCACACTGCTGCTGTTCAGTGTGCTCCTGGCCTGCCAGTGACTCAAGTTCCCTGGGCTGCCTGTCTCTGCAACACATCCCCCTGAGATTCTGCTGTGTTTTCAGGCCACTGCCTCACACAATTTGCCACTTTTTAAGGGAAGGAAGTGACACTGCTTTTTAACTTTATCTTTGCTATGGAATTTCTCTTACAGAATTTATAAAGAATTTCTTTCTGAAGCTGTTTTCATAGAGTTTTGTTCTTTTTGGGTGGGGGGATGAAGGCCTAAGTTCACAAATCTATGACTAATAATTTCCTCAAAGGATGTCATGAAAGTAACATGAAATAACCAACAGTTGTTCTGAAAGACAAACATTTATGCCAGGCATGTCCTCATTAGTTAAAAATATGTATTTCTACTGTTTAAAAATAGGAAGCAAAAATGCTGTAATAATCACCTCAAATCACAAGAGATACCTGTCAATTACTTCCAACTGTCTGTTAGCCTTTTACTGCGCTTATGTTTACAATCAAAAGAATGTGTTTCTATCTAATGGAATTATGTTTTCTTCTTCCCTCAAGGTAAAGCTAACATTTCTGTCACCTAAAGCCAAACTGATACCATTTCTACTTTATGCTAGGCACTGTTAGGGCAAAACACTTCTTTTTCATTTCAGCTCTCAGAAGTATTCACAGGAAACCACTAGAGGAAAACTTACTGATTTTCACCTTTCCAGCTAGTTTACTTTTTATGATTTTTTTGTTTTGTTTTGTTTTTCTTTTTGTGATATTTTATAGTTTTCAGTGAAGTTTTAGTAGTTTAGTTCCAATTCTACCAAGTTCCATAACAATGATTAACCTTTATCAGTTTGTGAACATTCTTAATATTTCCATTCTGGTTGTTTGGCTTCCACTAACCTAGTTTTCCTGATGCCTTACTTCTGTATCTTTCTATTAATTATTAGATTTCTGGTTAATAATAGAGACGATTTAAAAAAACAACACAAAACTTTTCCCTTCTTAGAAAGTACTTTTCCCAGTACTAGTGCTAGAGGGTGATGGCTAAGAGTACAATCATCAAAGCTGGTGTATAAATTGCTATAATTCTTAATTTTTTAATTATACCCCTCAAATTTATTTTATATTGGTTTGCTTACAGAGTTTATTTACATTGTGTTTCACACTATCCTTCATTCACATTGTTTCATACAATCATTCTCATTCATTATATTTTATAAAATTAATCAACTTTGAACTATATCCCTGTCGGATCTTTCCGATTTCCTTTGCCAACCCCTTCCTCCACCCACCAGATTTGTGACCCTCTGATTTCTCCCTGCCTATCTTCACCCCTCTGCTTCTACCCTTCCTTCCTACTGTGAATTCGCATACAAGTTTTACTAGTTATCATTCTATTTTTAGAATAATTGTCTTATGCAGTATTCGTTATTATGGGACTGAGTTAGTTCACTCAGCATAATGGTCTCCGGTCCCTCCCAAGTTATATCACAATTTCTCAAGCCAATCGATTGTGGTTGGACATTTGGAATGCTTCCATGTTCTTGTGATAGTAAATAATGCTGCTATGAACATTACTGTACAAATATCTGTTTGTGACTAATTTTTCCAGGGTGCTTTAGCTCTTTAAAACCTGAAACAAACAAACATGTTCTCTGACCTCAGAACAGTGGAACACATGTAGAAATATCCTAAAACAGCTAACAAATTTTCTTAAGAGAAATCTCTTTGGAATCCTAATTCTAACAGCATAATAGATTGCTAGTTGTTGTTAAGTGCCATCGTGTATGACCCACAGTGACACTATTATCAACCTATCTGAGCCCTGTCTTATTATCCTGTGCCATCTTCATACCTCCTAATACACTAAAGCCCACTGTAGCAGTCACCATGTCAATCCACCTGGTCGAGAATCTTCCTCTCCTTTGCCGACCCTACTGTTCTGAGCATCATGTCCCTCTTCGAGGAAAAGCCTCACCTAGCCACAGGCCTTAAGTATGTGAGGTGAAGCCTTATCATCTTTGTCAGCAAAGAGCACTCTGGCTGTGCCCTCTCCAAGACACATTTGTTTGTTCTTTTAGCCATCCTTGGGATGTTCAGAGCTCATTTCTCAGTGTCTAACTGACACTGAAAAATTTCAGGACGTAGCATATGAGCAGGAGCCAATGGTAATGAAAGAGGAAGTGGAAGCTGCATTGAAGGCATGGGCAAAAAATAAGGCCCCAGAAATTGCTGGGATACCAATTAAGTTGCTTCAATTAACAGATGCAGACTTGGATGTGCTCACCAGTCTATGCCAGGAAATCTGGAAGACAGGTGTCAGGCCATTGGATTGGATTTGTTCCCATTCCCAAGAAAGGTGATGGAATAAAATGTGGGAATTATCGAACAGTATCATTTATATGACACATAAGCAAAATACTGCTGAAGATAATTAAAAAACAGCTTGAAGAGTACACAGGGAACTGCTAGAGGTTCAACCAGGATTTAGAAGAGGCCGTGGCACCAGGGATATCATTGCTTATGTCAGATGGATCCTGGCTTTATTGACTATGAAAAAGCATTTGACTGTGTGGATCATAATAAGTTATAGCTAACAAATCACTAGAGCACTGACTAATGTCAGCTGAGAGCAAGTGGACCAAGGCCACACTCAGAAAAACAAAGCTAGAAGGAACCCAAGTCTAAGGAGAAGGTAAGGAAGAGACATTCCACCAATCATGGATTATTTCTCTCCAGACTACCCTTTACAGAGAAAAGCATGAAATCTTAAGGTTTGAGATTTTTCTGTCACATCATATAACCCTGCCACATTCAATTCAAATTATCAAGTGACAAGTAATGTACTGTTGTTCTCAATGCACCAGAAAAGCCACACTGGCAGAACTGTACCTTGATAGAAGCTCCAGCAAAGCGAGAAAGCTGTTTGATGTGCTGTCCCTGCTTGCCAATAATGGCGCCGACTGAGAGGGCTGGGATAAACAGGTGAACGGTCTCCGTTTCTGAGTGCTGTTGGAAAAGCAGAATAGGACATGCATGCTTACTTCTTACAAATCTTTTATTACAGTCAGCACAGAGATGGGAACCTGCTCATGTTGGATTAGGAAAAGTTTGAAAAACTTCCACAATAAATTAACATGAATATGAATTTACTTAATATGTCAAGATTTTTTACAATGTATTTATCCTCAAAGCATTTGCATTTAAAACTTCCACTCTTCTCTATACAATCTTCTTAAACTTTAAAATGTCACTGGGTTAAAAGATTTAAAAGGAAGACATTAGAAAGTTCAAACATAATAGAGCAGATTAACAATACTTGCTTAAGCTTTAAAGATTAATACACACAATATAGCCAAGGCAGAGTTTAACAAGTATATACTGGGCTACAAATCAACAAATCTAATGCCACTCAAGAATATCAATTCCACACCTTACTCCAGTAGCCATTTATGTTTCATTTCAGTTTCACTTTTCTAATACAGAGAGAGACCAATTTGCATTAGTAGTGAAATATCCTCCACTATTTTCCCATAAAATTCTTATTTGCCTTTCCTCTTGCATACTGGAAAAAACCACCTAAAGATTAAAAAAGTATTCATTAATTTTCTCTCTTTCACTTCTCACTTCAAACCATTATATTATCTTCAAACAGCAGAGGTAAAGGACATAGTCACTTAGAGGATTTCACAGTGGCTAAGTTCCAGAGGTAAAAGGGTTAATTTGATAATGTTACCAGCTCTTAGATATAGAAGCAGTGCAAATACTCATCTAGTTTATAATTCTTTTACATTCTAACCACAGTAAGAACAACATGCTTCTAAGGATAAATGAATACCAAGAAATATTTAAAACTTCAACCCCTATTCTAGACTAAAATGACTCATTTTAGATTATGTTCAGCATTTGTGTAAGCATTTGTACTAAGACTGTATGAGATTCTACACAAGAATTTCTATTTTTTTGCTTGGTAAAATATTGTAGCACACTGAAAGTACTGTCAGTTGAAGGAAGTGCCCTTTGTGGCTCTACAAGTTGGGGTTTTTTTAAATTGTGATTTTTATGAAACTTTACAGAAAACCTGGATTTCCATTCATTATTGCAAATTTTCCTCCCTTCCCCCACTTCCAGTTTTCATTTCTCTTAAAAAAATTTCATTCATTGTTGCACAACCCCACCCCCTCCTCCCAGTCCATTTTGCTATGTACCTCTGATTCCAGACTACTGTCATGCAAATAATGACTAATAATATATTCCTTTTAAACAGTTCTTTCCTTCTTTTGTTTCAATGCAATGTACATTATTTATCCCCTCTTTTCTCAGTTTCCCCCCAACCCCCATGTCAGTCTCACTGTACAACAGTGGCATTATGCAGTACTTGTCCTTTTGTAACTGAGATATTTCACTCAGCATGTCCTCCAAGGCCACCCATTTGGTATAATATTTTATGAGTTTCTTGTTTTTCAGCATGGTGTGAATTTACTACAGCTTCTCTATCTATCAGTTTGTTGATGGGCACTTGGGTTGCTTCCATCTACTATTGTGAACAACACAGCAGTAATCATAGGTGTACATACATCTGTTTGGGTGGCAGTTCTGGTTTCTTTAGAGTATATTTCCACTAGTGCAATTGCTGGATCAAATGGCATTTCTATTTCCAACATTTTGAGAAAGCCCCATACTGCCTTCCACTGTGGTTGCACCATTTTACACTCCCACCAACAGTGAATAAGGGTTTCTCCACAACTTCACCAGCATTTGGTGTTTGCTGCTCTGTTGAACTCTGCTATTGTTATTGGGGTGAGATGATATCTCGTACTTGTGTTTTGATTTGCATCTCTCTTAGAGCTAGAAATTTTGAACATTTCTTCATGTGTTTGTTTGGTGAAGTGTCTGTTTATACCATGTGTCAATTTTGTGATTGGTTGTTTATCTTGTTGAGATGCTGGAGTACTCTATAAATTTTAGATATAAGTCCACATCAGACATGTCATTACCAAATTTTTCCCCAGTCTGTGGATTTTCCTTTTTACCACCCTGTTGGAGAAGTTTTTTGATGTGCATAGGGATTTGATTCTTAGAAGGTTCCATTCATCCATTTTATTCTCTCCTGCTTGTAGATGCTACAAGATTCTTAGAATATACACAGAAAAGGGTTAATCTTTCCATTCAACTCTTGATTCCATTTATTTGCAACAGGGCCCACTCCTGGACCCAGAAATGCTATAGCTATTTATCAGTCAGTGACACCAGGTACAATTATGTCATTCTTCACTATTTCCAAAAGTGTCTCTCTTTGGAAGGCACTTAAGAACAAACAGGAATGTTTTGGAGAAAGTAGGCAGAGTGCTCCTTAGAGGCAAGGGTGATAAAACTTCCTCTCACATACTTTGAGCATGGTATTAGGAGAGGCTATTACTTGGAAAGAGACATCATGCTTGGAGAAGTGGAAAGTCAGGGCAAGAGAGAAACACCATCAATGAGATGTTTTGATACGGTGTCTGCAGCAATGGGCTCAAGTATGCCAGAGATGGCGAGGATGGCATAAGACTGGACAGGGTTCAGAGCTACTGTTTGCAGGGTCACTATGAGTTGTACTCAATGGCACATAACAACAACATTTATCTCACAGCAGCCAGAGTTAATGTGAGCTCCATATACCACTATCCCTAGGGGTCACTTTATATAACTAGATAGGTCAATTAAATATTTACACTAAATATAAACTAGTGAAGAATTAATCTGTCATTCTGATTCTTAAATAATCAAGGTCATAAAAATATTACCAAACAAAAAAAGTCCTGGCCTAAATTATTTCACTGGTGAATTCTATCAAACATTCAGAAGAGTGGACATAGATTCTACTTAGAATACAGAAAAAGATGGGTACTCCCAAATTCATTCTATGAAGCAAGCATAACACTGATACCAACTCTAAGCAAAAATACCATTAAAAATGAAAATTCTAGACCAAGATCCCCCGAGAACATGGATGTGAAAATTTTCAACAAAATACTAGCCAATAGAATCTGACATTCTATAAAATCAACACCCTTTCCTGACACACTAAAGAAAATAGAAATCAACTTCCTGAATCTACATTATTTTTTAAAGATGTTCTCCTCCTGGGAATATGAGGCAGCTCACATACACATGTGACACCCAGGAAGTGGGTTCTGTGGTACAAATTATTCAGAGTGCTAAGCCACATTTTCAGAGTACAGAAGCCTAAATTATAATGTTTAATTCCATGACAAAGCCAGAACAAGGAGTAATAAGCTTCTTCCACATACACTGGTGAGTTTATGTCCCTAATCCAGTTCAGAAAGCCCACTAGCATTACCATTTCTTGTTACACATTCCTTGCAAGTAAATCAGTGTTCAGTCATATTATCCTGAACTCTTCTTTCCAAATCCCCTTGATATATCCTTTAAGGTTGAAGGATATTCACAGGACACAGACTGCTTCCCATTGAGTTTCTGCCAGCTGCCTATCGGCTGAGCTTCCTCTGGACTGCTTGGCAGGCTATGATATAGCTTGAAATAACAAAAAGAACAAAGCCGCACAACTGAAAGTTTGCATAACTGGTTAAGTCTGCCAATGAGTAATTCCTAATCATCTATCGGGAGGAGATACAGGAATGAGCAAACAGCAAGGTTAAGTGTATTTAGTTTGTGGGGAATAAACTCTAAGACATCATAAAGGCACGGAGACATGCACGCCAGCCAACAAGCTCAGCCGCCGGGAATGTGGACATATGCCAGGGTTTCCCTCTGCCTTAGAAGATAGATACTCCTGGGTTTTGGTTTTGTTTCTAATGGATTCATTCTGGAATTGAAATCAAGTTTATGCAATTCCATGAACAAAAAAACAGAATAGTGAAGTCTAACAAATAAACAGGGGAGGAAAGCCACAACAGTTTACCCTCATTCAAGTAACCCAGACCTCCTAGAGATAACTGCTCATGTGTGCAATGGAGCATTTTTAAATTACTTAATGACAAAAGTTGAGGTCACAGTAAGAAATGCTATGGATTAGGACTAAGAAAAGCCATGAGCAAGAGCAAGCTCGCACTCTTATGCATGTGTATATATATATGTTATTGAATGCTTTGAGTGGGAAACGACCCATAGCTGACCCTACAGCGGGTTTCAGAGGTAGCTAACACGTTGCCAGCACACTTTTAAATTGACGACCGTCCTTAGAAACTCATCCTCCCCCCCCTATTGTTTATGACTGCCATATGAAATTGAGTCATATGTTTGGAAGTGAAAATTAATTAAAATGTGCAGGATGGCTATAGCCGTCATTTGTGGCAACATGTTAATAACATGGGAAAAGATTGTCCATTCTTCTTCCAGAGAACAGCTGGTGGATTAGAACCAAGTGCCTTTGGGACTGCAGCACAGCTTCTTACCACTAGGTCATCAGAGCTCCCTTAAAAAAAAAATACACACACACACACACACACACACACACACACACACACAATATGCATTGTAAAGAGCACCATAACTCGTCGAGAAAAGCTTTAACTTTCTTACTCTTTTTCTATACAAGGAAGGTCAGCAATCCTAGCGATTTCTGGAGAAGGTTCTACCAAAATTAGGAAGACAACAGCTTTGGGGTAATTTCTGCCAACCAACCACAATCTGCCAAGACTATCCAGTTATGCACGGGGCTGTGCCAGTTTCAGTGCTTGCCCTGCTCACTAGCTGCCAATTCCCTCTTCCCTACTGTTCGAGCATTTCTGAAAGGAGCATTTCCTGTCATTTATAAGCTATAAGTTTGCCAACTATTGCAAGAGCCAGCTGCCAGGCAGGAATTAGAGAATTTTTTTTCCTGTTGGAAGAATGAACTCTTTAGCTCTTTGGCGTGGGGGTGGGGAGATGAACCTGGCAGGTTCTGGAAATAAGAACATGTTATGGGAAGAAGGATGGGCAGAATTCAAGCATGAAACATTGGCAAGGGATTTATCCAAAGTCAAGATACATCAATTCTACTTTTC